AAACTCTTTATTTCGAGTTTGTTTTTGTATGTGAAATTAGATGAATTTTTAGTTAGAGGATAGACTATGATATAATTCTATAAACTATGATATAATTCTCCTATAATAATTCTACTATATGATTCACATCAAATTTACATTCAAAATTCGTCGTTGGTTTATATGTGTTCCTGCAAATCATCACGTTCGTCTGATGTATATATTATTTCAGCTGTATAACTCTTCCTTTCTCGCGTATCATTCGCACAGCTATCACAGTAAACTTGACGATTAATTGCTTGTTCGGGCAGTCGAGTAAGTTGATAAAATCGACAATCGATTTATGGCACGTATTTGCTGCATGATGTATGTCATCGAAGGGGATAGGAATACCGTGATTTTTCTATTACTAGCACTTTGCTCCAAGAGGATCCGAAACAACTTTCACTTGATAGATAATAATAGTCGATTTATTCTCTTTTCCGCGTGTCACACTGCGTCATTATATGATTACCAGCCACGCATTCGAAGTTTTCTTTTCTAATTATTCACATCCGTAAAGACAGTAGAAAGCATTTCTAGGGGCACTTTAGTTACGCTCGAAGCAGATGTGCAACATTCTGAGAAATTCCGGAAGAAACTTACAGCCCTAAATTGCCTCGGGGAATGATGCATCCGGTATACGTGCACCGCCGGCTAAGTGGTATTTATTAAGATTAGAAACTGGGTTAATATTGCTCCCTGGATGAGCCGCTACTCAAGTGAAAGCTCCAGCGGCTGAAGTTAATATATCGCCGCGTTGCGCAAACGTATTGTTAATTTCTCCGCTCGACTGCATGCTACACGTATACCGTGCATAGAAAACGATTAATTTTATTTAATTCTCTTACCTGTTGGCAGACTGATCCGATGCTTCCAAAAACGAGGGACAGGTGACAAGCAAAATCCAGACGATCTTGAGATAACTTCCTCTTTCTTTGTGAAGAAACTTCGATCAGAAGCAACGAGGACGAAACGATGTTGAGCTTACGGCGAAGGCATTCTCGATGGAGAATGTTCCCTATCTTGTTGTTTCTCGGACTAATCTGCAGCGCCGAATTGGCACCTGCCCGCTTACCTGAAGAAATATCATCAGCACCATCATCATCATCGACACCCAAAAAGAAGGACATTGACTTTCTGGGCGATTTCTGGCAAGCATTGCTCCTGGTGGATCCACAAAGCGGCTTTCAACCCAGTCTGGACTCTCGAAGAATAACGCCGAAGAGCGTGTTTATCGCACCGGGAGTGTTACCTGCTTGCGCAGAAGGTTATCACGCGGACAAGATGGGTAGGTGCGTTAAAAGCATAAGCATTAACGCGACTGCGCACAAGGATTTCCTTCTGGAACGACTTAAGCTCATGTTTAGTAGTGCACAAACTGTCAAGAATGATCAGAAAAAGTCGACTGGTCCCTTGCAGCTTAACATCCCTCTGCAGCTTAACATTCCTGTGGTGTCCGACACCAATCCTCAGTCGACGGAGATCGAAGTTGAAGAAACGTTCTTGAAAAACCAGCCGATCGCGGCGCCGACTCGCAATGAAACTTATTTCTCAGCAGACGAAGAGAAAATGAAGTTGCCTATGACATTGTACGAATTGAAGAACGACACGACCTTGGACGAAGAAGAATTCTTTTTTGGAAATTCCAATGTCGATGATATTGGAAAAAAGCTTCCAGCGACAGTTCCAGTAACGGAATTGGTCGAGGAAACGAATGACACCAATTTTTCGGAAGTGGTGGATTACAAGATTCCAATAGATTTGAAAACAGTGTTGAATTCCTCGAGTGTGAAGAGAATTGACATCAGTGGCAGTACAGAAGAAAGCGTCTTGATAACGGAGAAGCGAGAGAGCTCCACCGAGTCGTCACCAGCATTAGTGCTGCTAATCTCGCCTACAAAACTGACGAACGTAGTGGACGATCTGTTGCTGACGCAGAACGATACCGCCGAAGAGGTTGTGCAGATGTTCAATTTCACCTCAAACGCCAACGAAAGCGTCACTACTGGTGCACCCGATTCCGCGCTTCCTATGAAGCAAACGACATCGATTCCGATAAACGAGCAACGAGACAACGAAACGTATGTGAAAGACGAGTTGATACCAGAAATTTCCAAGCCGAACGAGGAAACGGACTTCCTCTATGACGAGGAAGAAGACGATGTGGATTATCCATATAGCACAGACATACCAGATGAAGACGACTCGGCTGAAGGTGAAGAGATCCTGAAGCATGGAGAGGCCGGCATGACGATTCCCACGGTTCGAAATATCGAGCGCCCGGATCGCGATCGTCATCAACGGCAACAGGACCAAATTGCAGAGCTAAAGAAGCTGTTCAATCAGATCGTAGATCATCATAACGATTCCGCATTCACAGAGGATAAAGATGAGGCGGGCAGCAATGTCTCCAGCGAAGTCAGCATTGACGGTGATTTCATTGTAGAGACGACGCTCTTGGACGTGAACACTGAGAGACTACAAGTCACCACCAAGTCGCCGGACACGGAAAAAGTCAAAGATAGCGAGGACGAATCCAAAAACTTGTTCAGCTCGGAGATTAAGAGTTCTCATGTTATATTTCCTGATAACGTCCACGATGTGGTGACCGTCAGTTCGCACGAACGCAAGCCAACCGAGCAGCTCTCCATGAGATTCGAGAACGAGAAAAACAAGAAACTGGAAAGTGTATCTTCTTCGTACGATTCGCCGGAGGACGATTCGATAACTGAAATCCGTATGATCAACGATAAACGATTGAAAGAGAGCATATTGCAAAAAAGTCCGAAAGATTTCGAATCAAACGTCCCGAGCAGTTCCATACAGAGCGCGATGAACTTGGACTCCGCTGAAGATTTCGTGAGATTTCTCGATTACGTGAGGCGGCCGCAGCAAGATGGTTACGTAAGGTTTCCGGATAGCGGAGAGATAGCCAACAGCATACACAGTTTGAATTACAAGCAGAACTCGCGCTATTCTGCGGACGATGTCGGCCCTTACGACGGTACCAGCACCAAGAGCAGCGTGCCTGTCCGCCAGAAACCAGTTTATCATTTGATGGCGTCGAGTTGGAAGTCGGACTTGGATCACATCCAGGCGACACCCAGTGAAAGACAGAATCAGACACCAGATTTGATACATTTTTGGAGTAAGCTTCCGTTGATCAAAGATCCAGCTATCTATCCCGTTGATCAGAACGATGATCAAGAACAATCTTACAGCCGTTCCTTTCGAACGCGATCGTCACGAAGGTTGAGTCCCTTCACGGAGACGTCGCCGGGGAACAGGGTTTCAATGCAAAAGCGAAAGACACCAATTAGCGTTTAATCTTCTTCACATCGCTTTTCTTGAAAGAAAGGTCTAACTGTATACGGAATTGTGTCAAGTGACTCGAGAATTCCGAAATTGCATCAAGGTAGTTTGCGGATTGTTCGTCGCGTTTAGATCGCTACTGTACGAAGGACTTTATAGTAGATAAGATCAACAAGAAGGATTGACGGAAGACAATCTGCGGCAATCTGTTTGAGAAGTTCAAGAGTCGGTACTGCTTGTATCATGTTTAGTATTTTTTTTTGCTCAGCGAATGTGTTGCAAATCGTTGGAAACTTCGACGATCTCAAGAGGAGTGATCTGAAATCCAAGTATCTTCCCGGTATTGCCTTCCCTTCATGTGAGAAAAAAAACCTGGACTCGCTAAAAGCGGAGGGAAATTTAGAAATGTACTTAGACGTTTGTTCATTATAGTTGCGTCACACCGTGTCGGTAATTAAATTTGCATCCAAAAAAAGATTTTCAAGGAAAATCTCACAAATGCGTTCTGATATCTTATGCTGTGTAATTAATAGTGATAAGCATCGAATAGAGAAAGTAGCGAGGAAGTAGCAAATAGCATGCTGACGCAAAATATTTGCGCAATCGATGACAAATTTTTTCACGTTAATCAGATGCTTTCTATGGAAAGTTCAAACTGCGTCATGCATTTCAAAATAAATCGCTGAGCATCAGAATCACTTATGAATTCATCGCGTCTGACGAGAGATATTAAGTTGCGAAAATAAAGCGTCGCTGTTTCAAACATCAAGGTTGACGAGAATAGATTTGTTTGAACTGACATTAACTAGGCTAATATTTACGAAAGCTAAAATTTTCTACCAGAATGCGCTAAAATAGAAGAAACACTGCCTGAAGTAATTTTAAAATTTTTTTACGAGTGATTTTTTTACATTTTTTCGATAGAAATTAGTAAGGATCTGCAGTTTCGTCACATATTTAATTTCATATGTGATACTTAGTACCTTATATTTTTAACAGTATTATTTTAATAATATAATCGCTTTCTAATGAATGAAACTTTATTTGTACTGTCTGTTTTATTCGTAGACAGGTACTTATTACGTTTACAATTTTATTTGGTAATTTATTCAATGTTATTTTAACAATATAATAATCACTTTTTAATTAAATTTTATTTCTAACGAAATTTCATTTGTATTGACTCTACTTTATTCATATATATAATAGGTACTATTATGTCTATTTTATGATTATTTGATAATTCTATTCAATGTTTTTATCAATGTAATCATGTTTTAATGAAATGATTTTTACTTACAATGACTCTTTCATTTACAGACAGTTTCTATTTTATTTATAATAAATACTTATTACATCTGCAATTTTATTTGACAATTCTATTAAATTTTACTTTAATAATACACTTATTTATTACTTTAATATGACAAATGAAATTAATGAAAATATGATATAACAATCGCAGTGAATTTTAAATATATAACGAAAATGCGGGCTAACAAATTCTTGATAAAAAAATATATCGCTGATTAGGCTATCGTATGATGAAATAGTTATTAATTCAGCTGTTTCGTGTGAAACGTCGTTGATAAATCTATATTCTCTTTACAGCAGAGATAGTTATTAGACTTGTCAGTGTTAACACTAATTTCAAGATAAGAATGTATGAATGGCGTATTCGTGAGCTCGCGAGCGATATGTTGAGCTCATTTACTAACGGAAGTGTTAATGAAGCACAGACTGATCTTTAGAGTTATTATACAGTAGTCGATTTTCGGCCGTACGAAATCTTGGGAATCGTGTTACTCTCTTCAGTAAAGAAATACAATCGTGCAGCATCAATTTCATCGTTGTAAGATTTGCAAAGAAGAACGTACAAAATCGTTCCGGTTACACGATCTCTTGCAAATTTTTAAATAACTCGTTTTTATAAATGGCAAGCGTGCGCGGACATGTTAGATCACTTTTTGCAGATCAATCACAAAATTACACACAATTATATTAGCTAGCCCACAGCGTAGAATAAGTGTTTTTCGGTGTGTGATCCAATCGATCGTTGTTTCACGTTGATATAGCTTCAAAGGTGATTTCTCTCAAAACAGCTATTGAAATCAGTCGAAAAGTTTCGATCATCTTCGTTGTATTCGCTTTACCTTTCATATAGGAAAGATAATTACATTTTGATGACACGTTGTCTCCGATATCGCTATAATAAACGCTCCGGCTACATGTGACATGTAGTAAGCAAGAATATTTAAAGCTTTTATTTATTTGAGTTGTGTGTGTGTGTGTGTGTGTGTGTGTGTGTGTGTGTGTGTGTGTGTGTGTGTGCGTGTGTGCGTGTGTGAATTAGTAATGTAAATCGCAAAAGTCTTCGTAAGTTAATTTTTATTAAGTCAAAAACGTATAGAAAAATTATTTTCACTTTACTAGGCAAATAATTTAGAATAATTTAAAATTAAATACTGTTAAATTTTGTCATTTTATAATACTCTCTTGAGATATTATTTTCTATAGCTTTCTTTCTTTTAAAGTCAAAGAATTTAAAAAATAAAAGAAATCATTGTATCATTGACAAATATAATATTAAGCAACTCCAAGTAATATTTAAATTATTAATTAAATCTTATTAATATTCGTAAATTAAAATTTTTTTAGTAGTAGGTTGTCCGAAAAGTTCGTACCGCAAAAGATTTAAATTTAATAAATGAAATTAAAAATTTAAATCTTCTACGTTTCAATTTTCCTTCAAAACTTCGGCACGAACTTTCCGGACAACCCAAATAATTTGCTTCCTAATTTTAATCTGTTGCGTACAATGTTACTAAGAAGCCGCGACTTTTATTGTAGCAGATGTTATCGAGTTATCATTCAAAGCATCGAGACATTTCGAATCAGCTTTCTTGCGCGTGTTTCCTTCTACGAACTCGATAATTAAGCCGAAAGATTTTACGATATTTGACATTGTGTGGCCAGTAAATCTACTGATCTACATACGTTTCAATGTGGTGTGTAATTTTTCTCCAGTACTATTAAATGTCGATTCGTGTACATATTAATTATATCATTGAGGAATGTATATACGCATAGAGGCATAATATAGGCATAATATAAATAAATAAGCGTTAACAGCAGCACAGTCCCGATTGCGTATTAATCGTGTATTAAATCTTCTTGTATTATTTATAGCGAAATATATCAATGTATATTGCATTTGTCGTGTTGTGCGAGGTCGCCTGTTAGATAACGGAGTAAAGGAGTTATAAAAAAGAATCGCATACGACGCCCGTATGATACAAAATTATTGTGCTCTTTTATTTGTACCTGCCAAACACATCCTTTTTAAATATTACAATTGAAATATTAAATTCGCGTTGCTTACAAAAATATTTAATTTCGCGATAATACATATAATATTATTGCGTATAAATACATATTTTTATCCATAAAACGTTTTATATAATAATAAAATTAATTTTGTTTATTTATCTGAAATGCAAAAATTTGGGAGATTTCAACGCGAACAAATCTATTGTCCTATGAATTCTAAGAACTAATTAATTACATCAGCTCGTCTTGAGACCTTTAAACCTCCTAGCCAAGAAGAATGTCTCAGTTGATTCGTCTCTTGTCGCATCAGGTCTAATTGCCCTGACGCTACTGTAAAATTTTAACAGATTCTGTTCAAACTGTTGCATCTTACCACCGTCCCAGATTTTTACAACGAACGTGCTTTGTGCCTTACTGATTTGTAACGCGAATCTCAAGGCAGCGTAAGCGAGTAGCATTATATTATCATGATCTATCTCTCTTATGCCAGATGCATTTGGAGCCATGTCAGACAAAACGACATCGACCTTGTCCCCCTGCAATAATTTGTTTAGAGTCTCCTGCGTTTTGATGTTCGTGAAATCCATGTTTCCCAAGACAGTCGCACCTTCTACGGGATAAAACGGGAGTTTGTCGACAGCGTACACTCTACCAACAGGTCCTTCCTTCTTGCCATTAGCATTGGTTAGATTGGTGGCGACCTGAGTCCAGCTGCCGGGCGCTGCCCCACAATCCACGACGGTCAGACCTGGGTTGAGGATCTTGAATCTTTCATTGATTTCCAATAGTTTGAACGCGCTCCTGCATCTGTACTTCTCCTGCTTTGCTTTCTCCACGTAGGGATCGCGCAGCTGCCTTTCCAGCCATAGCTGTGAACTGTGCTTCTTGCCTTTCAGGTTTCGCGGGATTTCCTTCAGAAGCACGCGGCCGGTGTGTAAGCTTCTCGTCAGCGAAACGTTCCTGCAGAGAGAATTCATCTCGTATGTAATGCAAATGTGATCTAACCTGTGGCCAAGCGCACGTCGCAAACGCTTAGCACAAACAACATTTGATATCAAGACTTTTGGTGATATTTATCTATCAGCAGACTAGCGCCATACACTCCCAGAGAATTATTAGCATGTACAACTTGCGTTAAATGGAGAATAAATGCGTGTAAAGGCAAACTGTCGACATCGCAGAATTAAAACCCTGGACGCGGCCATGTTGTCTGATTGTCATTAATACATTTTGATTGTCCGATCAGCTGATTAACATCTGTCGGTGTGGTGGATTTCTGCCAGGAAGATTAATTAAGTTTTCTCTCTGATTCTGTTATATATACATATATATGATAAAAATTATTCTTAGAAGTTTTTATAATTTTGTTCTTAGAAAATTTTTAAGAATTTTTTGTATAAATTGGAACACTTCGGAAGAGAAAATCGAGAATGTCTACACATCTTTCCTAGAATTCTTAATAAAAATAGAATTGATGTTATGAGTTAACCACAATGTCAAAACAATCATAATATTCATAAATATTTTTCTACATACATACAATTATCACTCGAACAGATAAACCCAGAATGATAACAATAAAAATACTTTAAATAAAAATCAAATATTGAGTCATAAGAATCTTGTTTATCAAGTATTATTATCAAAACAATAACAAATCAATAAATTAAGATAAAAATAATATTAAATAATAAGGAATAAAAAAACAAAATTAATATTTTAATCGTCTAAATTTTAATATCATAGGATTATCATTAGAGTCTTTAATAATTCCTTGTCAGTGCCTTAAGTAACTTTTTGTAAAAGTGTATGTAATATGTATGTATTGTATGATATTAAATATACACGCATATATCAGGAAAACATTCCACGTACTCACATACACATACGCGACACATGCGCGTGTTCGACGTTTCTCGGCATGCTCGTACTGCTCGTAGCAGAGTACAGTCAAGTACAGCACGGAAGAGTGTCGAGTCGGCGAACCGGCCAACCGGCGATGTGACCGAGGAGCCGCGGAACGAGCTATACACACGTTTGAGGTTCCGGATGTTTTCATCAACGGAGTGATCCACGATGAACCTCACCGCGGGCAATGCGCACGGCAATGGTCTGCTCTACGCCGGCTTCAATCAGGACCAAGGTACGTCCCGTGCGGCTGCCTAACAATGCGTATCGATAGCGGAACAACATCCGTGGCTGCGTACCTGTCAGATTTGCCTTGCTTCCGTGTTCTAACCTAGCCTAGTTTTGCCGCCCGCGCGTCTACGCAATGTTCGTCAATGTTCGTCTCCACGGTAATCCGCGTCGATCTGCGTGATGCCACGTCTCACTCGGCATTCTCAATTTCATGCTGCCATAATCCGGAACGCCAGAGGACCAATTTCGCCGATCGATCGACCGCGAACCTCTTCGTCGAGAAATGTCGGTGACCTTTTGACGTTCGCGCGACTTGCAGCGAATTAACGATTTATTCGGATTTACTTTTGTATAGTCAGATCCCGTTTGAATGATCTTCCCATTTTTGTAAAAGTGTACAAAGAATGAAACGATTTGACACATTTGTTTGTATCTTTCTCTCGTTTGCTTCCCGTCCCATCTCGAAGTGATACCGTTGCACATTAATGCAACGGGTGACTCCATGATTGCACGCTTGAAGTAAGTTCGCGCGATATCGCGTTTCCATGTATGAGTTTATCAGGTCGAGTCATCTTCTGCACTCGTGTCGACATGTATGTATCATAAACACACGATAGTCGATTAATATTACTAAAGAAAGGAAAATGTATGTATAACAGATAAAACTGTATCGCTATTGTTCATGCATTTGCAGGATGCTTCGCCTGTGGCATGGAGAACGGATTCCGAGTGTATAACTGTGATCCACTTAAGGAGAAAGAGAGGCATGACTTTAGCGATGGAGGCCTTGGATATGTAGAGATGCTTTTCAGATGTAATTATCTGGCGTTAGTTGGAGGTGGAGTCAAACCAATGTATCCAACAAACAAAGGTTTATTTACTTTCTGTATATTTGGTATACATTAGGTCTGTTTTTTGTAGTTGAACTAGTATACATTTGTTGTACTTAAAATAAAATATATGTTGGTTTCCAGTAAGAAGTATAAACTGTTTCACTTGTCAAACTCTTCGAGTCATTCTTGTTATCAACTGTTAAACAAGAACAATACTTGTGAGAGCGTCAAGTGGAATGAACCCATAGTGTAACATAGGAATTATTTTATCTTTGTTTAACATTAGCGAATAACATGGATGCAATAATTTACTATGTGTTATAATGTGTTATCTATTGCTGGAAAGTATCCATGTATTTGAAGTTTGATGAAAGCGAAAAAGATAGTTTTAGCAATCCAGTGATAAAGAACAGGCTTATCATAGATACAAGCTATTTACACTTTATGATTGCAGTCATGATATGGGATGATATAAAGAAATTGCCAGCAATTACCTTAGAATTTAACGCACCCGTGAAAGGAGTGAAATTGCGAAGAGACAGGATAGTAGTAGTGTTAGAGGGTGTTATAAAGGTTTATACGTTTACACAAAATCCTCAACAGTTGCACGTATTTGAAACTAATCCTAATCCGCGAGGGTTGTGCGTTCTGTGCCCGAATAGCAACAACTCCTTACTCGCCTTTCCTGGACGAAAGAACGGTCACGTTCAAGGTAAGAGTTCAGTAAAAAATCGAGATCTCGATATATCGTCTACATCAAATATATTACTTAATATCAACAGCTTGTGTATTCAGTTATAGATCTGGCTAATACAGAGAAGCAACCTTTAAATATAGAAGCACATGAAACGCCTTTATCTTGCATAGCTTTAAATCTGCAGGGCACCAGATTGGCCACTGCCTCGGAGAAAGGTACTTTGATAAGAGTATTTGATACGCAAAACGGTAACATGATTAACGAATTAAGGAGAGGAGCGAATCATGCAAATATCTATTGGTAAGCGTAGTAAAAGGAAAGATGTGACGAAACACGTGACATGAAATATTAATTTTTATACATTTAATTTTAGCATAAACTTCAATCATGACTCTACATGGCTGTGTGTGGCCAGTGATCACGGTACCGTGCACGTATTTGCCGTCGAAGATCAAAAACTGAATCGCCAATCTAGTTTAGCGTCCGCCACGTTCCTGCCAAAGTACTTCAGCTCGAGTTGGAGTTTCTGCAAATTTCAAGTGCCGAGCGGTCCTCAATGTATGTGTGCGTTTGGCCAAGATAACAATAGTATCATAGGTGAGCGATGTTTGTGAATTATGTATATTTGTTTTTATCAGTATAGATTAACTTTAACCTCGGTAACTCGTTATCTTTTCTAGTAGGCCGGCGCGGTAGTCAGTTCTTATTTTTAAAATTGTCTTGAATATTTTAAGATATTATCAATCATTTACAGAGCCGTCCTAAAACATTATTTAATCTTGTACAATAAGACTAGACTATAAATACTGGTCTTAGAACTAGAAAAGGATGTAAGTTAAACTGGCAATGAAATTAAAGTTAATTTATATTGATAAAATTACAAGATTTTTAACCGAAAATCATTATATTATATTTCGAGCAATCTCTCACGTTTACAATCTTTTATGCAGTGATATGCGCAGATGGTAGTTATTACAAGTTCGTGTTCAATAACAAGGGTGAGTGCACGAGAGACTTTTATGCTCAGTTTCTCGAGTTGACTGACGACAAAGCGTGATTGGAGGATACATAACGGCGGTGAATTTCTAACCGCGCGACGAGGGACTTGACTTTCGTGTTCCTTCACTATTTTCACTCATATTTTGGCTGAGTAAAAGAATTCAATGGCTCGCAGGTACATCGCAGGTACATGGAGATTGTAACACTCAAGCTGTTTATATAGGTGCAATAAAGTTCGTACCTAACGTTACGATAGAGGACCAAATGAAGAGTTCTATTGACTGTTGGTGATATCGTTCGTTGGTGTATTGTGCGCAGATTTTTGAAAACAAAAAGAAAACGATAATTGACAAATTAAACAGACAAAACTATCTTAAGATTACAGAGATTATGTCAAACTTGTTACACGAGCCTATTCGCTGACGCCTATTAATAGACGAGAGGAAATTTTTAAATATAAACAGAAGGAATACTTTCCCAGGTGATAACGGGAGACATCGCAAGTTACTTGTTGGCGTGATACTCACGTTTTCTTACATTTTAGATAAGAATGTTGCTGCAGCTAAAACTAAAGCGAACATTGACTATAAAGCCTAATCTACAATGTATTCTTTGCTTCCTGTTTCTTATTTTTTTGTCTCTGCTGTTTTATCAACAATCGCATTTCTTGTCATGTGTTTCTTGTCTCTTCCGAAGTTCATCAACCTTTATCTTGGATGACAGAAAACGAAGAAATAAAATAACAGACAAAAAAAAGATAAGAGGTAAAAAGTAATAAAAACTAAGAAACAGCAAAAAAAATTATTTTATTATGAATGTAAAAAGGAATTGTAAAATTGAATTGTCCAATTTGTTTGCTATTTGTAGCAAACAAATTTGCATATTTGACAAATATTTTGTTGCAATAATTGTAGCGAGTACAAATAAGAATAAATATATTTGTTATATTTGCAATCCCTATATTTGCAAATGGAATTTATGCCATAGGATTAGCATTCATAGCAAATATTTTCTTTCCATGAAAAAACAAAGAGCACATTGTAGATTAGGCTTAAAACATGTTTGTGACAAAAAGCAAATTATTTGCCGTAGCTTCGCAGTAAGCGCTTTGCAATGCAATTATATATCCTTATTGATCATGTGTTTCGTAGCCCAGCAAATCTTTTCATTATGTATAAATGCATTATATATAAAAGTGATATACATCCTCTTCGACGATTTTGAAATCTATTTAAATAGATCGTTGTTATAATCGCATCCATTTTGGCGATTCGTTGAACACGGACTTTTTATTTCGTAGCCAAATCATATCATAGATACGTCATATATATATATACATCTACTGAAGTATTATAATTTTTATTTTTACGTTTCCATACATTTAATATAAATAGATTGTTGTTATAATCGCATCTGTTTTTGGCGATTCATTGAACACGATATTGTTTCATAGCCGAATCATATCATATACACATCATATACACATACATCTGAAGTATTGTAATTTTTACTTTATGTTTTTTTCCATACATTTAATATACATATACGCAAGAGAGATTCTACACTTTATATCACACGGATATTACCGCAGATAATGAGGTTGTAATTTCACAAAGAAATTGGGTTTAAATATGAAATAAAATTGATTATTCCACGATTCGGAGTCCTGCACTTCTATTTCTCTAAATAAATTAATCTATGATTCACGTAATGTACATAGCGTTTTCGATGTTGTCACTCTATCGAGCGCAGATCTCCCGAGAAGACTTCGCTCGCTTATGCTAAAAATTAAATTCAGTCTTGCGCTTGAAAGAAAGTGCGCATTTGTTTCACAGCACAAAGAGAGATATTACTTTTGGAATTGTAATATTTTTATCCATTAGAATCTCGACAGAGATTGGAAATTCAAAATGTATGTCACACGTAAAGAGTATGGTGCATAGAAAGAACGATTTTATTGAAGTATTAAAAAATTTAATTAAAAATATAAATCTGAAAATAATTTTGTTGGGCATATCAAGATATGTATAGAACACTCAAGCAACTGTAAAAAGTTTTGACATTTAAACAAGCAGCTGAGATGTCTCATAATTATTTTGGTTTGGACAAAATTATTTTTAAATCTGTATTTAACAATAAATATTTATTATAAATATTTATTAGATACTTTAGCAAAACCGTTCTTTTTGTAATAAATAATTACTAGCATCTGTGCGTCGCATTAAAGAACCATCTTAACGCACGAACGTAAAAAAATATGCAATTATAACAAGGCAAAACAAAGAGAAATATTCAAATATGAAGAAGCGTGTTCCTTGCAGATTTTCTTGAACTTTACTTTCTTTATCCTATACGTGCGATACATGTTTTTATTACCTTCCGTCAGTTTGCAATTAATTATTTCATTTCCGAGATGTACTTTATTTCACGATTTTATAATCACCTCTAAATTGGTGCTAAATAAATCCAGATTTCTAAATTTGTCCAAAAGCACACGATTTTTCAAAATGTATCTACGTCACTGAGATCGCAATTGAATCTTGCGGTTTTATGAAGTAAATTACGTTTCCTTATCTTCGTAATTTACCCCGTAAAAACGTACATTGACAAAGAAATTCTCCATTGCTATTTCATAATATTTTTAAATTTCGTAAGGCTTGTTCACCGAAATCTGAACCGCTTTTGGTACCTCCAGCGGTACGGGTACTGCGTACTTTTTTTTCATAATGTGCACTTCGTGCGTAAGTCCCTTCTTTGTCTCGAGGCTTTTATAAGTACTGTACACCACGAACCAGACGTAAAAGCTCGCGATTATCAGGAAAAAGACGATTAGGCCTGAAAATATCACATCGTCCTTTAATAAAAACACGATAAATATTTTATAAATAAAATCAATGTAAGACTTTTCAGCAAACGAAATAACATATAGATATATCATTCTACCGTTCTCGTATATTTTAAGTAGTATTTTTATAACAGCGACATAATAAGAGCTCAGTATTGCAGAATTTCTTTAGTTAAATTTTTTTAAGATAGAAGAGATATAAAATTTAACCAAAGAAATTCGTGCAGTATGGAATACAAATTTTCGATTTTATATAATTTTAAACATAAATAAGCGAGAAAGATCTATTCAAATAGAACGGATCTTCGTGCTTAATAATATTTTTGCGTGAATTTTACAAATTCCAAGCAAATTGCACACCGATTATTTATTGGTCTTGAAACACGAAAAAAATTTAAATTTTAACTTACGTTGGCAAATATCAGCTTTTCCGCCTAGACTAGCGAGGAAAGGACAATCCTCCTCTACCAGGAATAATGAGATCGCTAGGGCTGCTATGATAGTGATCTTGACTATCATCCATGGCGTCATAAAATGACGATTGCTCTGAAAATGGAATGTACATTATAGAAAAAAAAAAAGAACTTTGCCTAAGCAGAACAATAAGTCACAATAACGTCAAAATGATCTTAAAATGAATCAGAAATGATTGAAAAATGATTTTTAATGGTCATTTTGACATTATTTTGATATTATAATAACTTGTTGTTCTTTTTGAGCGAACTTCAATTATTCTTTCAAATGATTTCGATTACCGTCAAAGCCCCATAGAGAAGTAACACGCTAGAGATGAAATGAATAACTGTGATGACGAGACCGCAATACATCGCGTATTCCAATTCTGCAAATACATAAAATCGCTGTAACAAGAGGGACAATGATTGTTTTGTCATATTTTTTTTTATGCGTGATTTTTGTGCGTCGCGTGAATGCAAGTATTAATAACCGGTTGCGGTGTGATGCGCCAGTTCCAACTTTTCTTTGTTGAGATGAAACGATGATATCTCCTCCAAGGCCTCCCTTTCGAGTGCATCTTCTGTATCTCTCGCCAACATTTCTTGAATCCCCAATGCGTGCGTCACACCCAGAATGAAGAATATCATACCCAACCCGGATGTTAACTGTGTATGAATATTTAATTTAAATCAAAATTATGCTCAGCGAAGCAGATCAATTGTCTAACACAGAAGTTTCATAAAGTTTGTGCTATTACCATTTGGAATATGGCGATTACTATTGTACCCTGCCTCAGGTTGAAGTAATGCATAAAGTGCTTCAACAATCCGATCTTCATCTTGGCTTCTAAGAATTAATGTAGACTAGCACTTTAAACAGTCCTGAAAGTTTATTATTAATTATTGTTTATATAATTTATAAATATTTATAGCATTACGTGTTTATTACATATTTTATATTTAATAAATTATTCAACTTTTCAAAATACGTTTCGCTATTACATATAAAATAAAAACTCTATAACAGAATCTGGCCACGAGATGACTATGAACTTTTAATTGGCCCATAATTTTCATCAAGTTCAGTACGTTAATATAACTCTGTTAGGCCGAAATTACTACGCATTGAAGACTGAGATTGAAGATTGAAAGATTGAAATTTGAACAATGAGGACAAAGAAACTTTATTTTGATTGATCAATTTCTAATATAAAGTAGATTGTACTAATTGTAAACTGTACCATAACAATCCAAGATAGACCTCTAATAAACATCCTAAAGACTTTCAGAAGATATTCCTACATTCTAAGGATGTTCTAGAAACGTTTAGAAAAATGTCTACATCCTAAGGACGATCTCAGAACGTCCCTTGAATAAATTGTACTACGTGGGAAACGTGAAGATCACTTATAAATAAAAAAACAATAAGTACAACAATACATCAAGATCATATCACGTTTCTCATATCACGTGCCCATCTTTTATCGATTAACAATCCATGAGGGTTGCAACCCTCCGTGTAACGCGTTGAGACACACCTTAAAACAATCGAAATCACAGCGATGACGAAAGTAGGTGAAACGCACGTCGCCTACCTTGGCGACCAGGTGTGCTCCGAGTATGCTCGTCGAATTACCACCGTCCGTTCGCAATGAGAATCAATAACTCTCGTCTTGCGCACACCCCGCGATAACGGGACGCTGCGTGGTAGCTTTAATTGCGAGTTATCATTGATGAATTCTTCTGACACTCGTGCGATCGTAGACGAGCGAAAACTAATGTAACGGAAAAAGTAGCGCGTCTCAAAGTCGGTCTCGTCAAGTTCTTGCGACGCGCAGAACGCGAGGATGATTTGGTGGTTCGAGGGGGGTTGAAAACGGCACCTTGGCACAGTAGACTGAGTAGACGCGCACGCGCCGTGGCATGCATATTATCGCATCCCTTGGAGTCGCAGATTGATCATTGTTTATTTACACGCGTCGCGTTGGCGTCAATTAATCGTATGATGTCAGATAATGATTCTTTAAAAATCAAACCTAATTTAATTAAATCTGATTTAGCACGAAGTTACGACGTGATAATTGATTTATTTTTTATTTCTTTTCTTCGAGGGATGATTGATTGAATGTGAGAATATTTAATTGAAGAATTAATTACTGTAAAAAGAGCAATTTTTTAAAGAAAATTGTTTTAATCTAAGTTTAGTTTGATTCTATTTTCAGAAAATTGAAAAGCTAGACTAAGTTGAATTAAAATAATCAGGATTTGATTTAATATTTCAAATACGTAAAATTTAGAGATCTCAGAAATTATCTAAAATTTAAAAATTATCTAAAAAATATATTAAAATATATCAAAGAAATTCAATCAACAGAATTTGGAATTTTGAAATTTAAAATATCTAGATCTAAGGATCTGGATCGATTCTATATTTTGAAAAGAGATGAAAATTACAAAATGAGCAAATTTACTTGGCGTTGATCAATAAAATTCTTGATCAATAAAATAACTATTCTAGTAAATTCATTCACTTTTGTAATTTTTACTTTATTTCAAGATAAAGAATCGACTCTCTAGATATATAATTTTTAAACTCAGAATTCCAGTTTACGTTATTATCTTACTAAAAGTTCAAGTCTAAAAACATAGCAAATAATTTAATTATATTTCAGTTTCTTTCGAATTTCAAAATCTAATTACGAATTCGAGTAAATTTTAATTAAGTATGAATGGGGTTTGCGAACAGCTGCAGAAATTATCCACTCGTGAGTAATGGCTTACAATTCCAATTTAAAAGTTAGTTCGATCAAGTTGAGTCATCTTTTCAAGTAGTCATAGAAACGCGATGCGCGCCCCGGAATGGTAGATTACGAGGCCAAGAGGGATGAATGCGTAATTGTCGCTTTGGCGAGCCGCAAGGACCGCAGGATCGTGACAGTTCGTGACAGTTGTGCAATTAGCGTGATTTCGCGCGTGCTCTCGAGGATTCGCAATTTCGAAACCGAAATGGAACGAAAATATCAGAGGGTTGGTTTGGGGGTGGGCGCATTTCACAATCCTCCAAGGGCGAAATATAGCGAGGAAACAAAGAATCTCATTAAGCGTAAGTAAATGATAACCGATGTTCAACGCGTGATTTATGTCAAAATTTCAATTGATTTTTTTTTATTACAATTCGGTCACGCATTCTGGCAAATGTTAAATATTAGTGTTAATGGAGGAATCCAAGTTATCAATGATGCAAAGAAAAATGATTCAGGAGGCGGTAGACAAGGGCGAGTCCTTACCACCTTCCATCGACAAAACGAAAAAAACGAAAGCTAAAGTCGAAAATTATCAAGTAAATATCGTGATATAAAGAATTTTCTAGAAAATAATTTCAAGATAATATTCTGTAGCATTTTCTTTTAGGTTAAATTTCCTAATGCTTGGAGGAGGCGTTCACAGGATACGATTATAAGCAGCGGTGCTTACGAGAGAGAACAATACAGGAGAACAGCGCCTTTACGTAATAATTAGAAATACTTTCTTCACATAGCAGTCGAATATAAAAATAAACGTACATTGAATAATATGAATTTTACGCAATTAGCCAATAAGGAGAAACAAAAGCGTCACTTGGCATGTATGATGGCTTTTGGAAAGGACATGCCGGAGACTCCTCACGGTCCTAAGATTCTTCACAGGGCTAAACGGGAGCCAGAAATACCTGAGAACGCGGATTTTCTAAACGATTGTAAGTTAGTTACCAACAGTCTACTTTACACTCAGAAAAGAAGGTATATTGTAGTAGCGATTATAAAAATTAAAAATGACAATTATATAAGTTTTATGTAATTTTTATGTAGAATTAATGGATTCTCTTAAATAGCTATTTCATAATTATTGACTAAGAAAAACAATGTATATTAATTCTATCTCTCTTTTATTTCAAAAACGACAGCTAAAAAAATTAAATTTCTCAGAAAAGGAAAAATTATTTTCAACTCGACAGAAAATTATTAATTAACCCCTTCAAACATTATAATGCACATCAAATTTGAAGATATTATCCGTTGAAATTATTTAATTCTATCAACATTATCTGAGATCTGATGTGCATAATAATGTATTTATTATTATGAAAAATAGTTAAAATTAAAAAAAAAATTGATTTTAAATTAAGTTACTTTTTGAGTTGAAACAATTTTTTTAAATTATTCTTTTGACATTGCGACAATTTTGACGATGTTTTATGAAGTTAGAAGAATTCATTTTTTAATATTTATCTAATTCTCTCTTATTCATAGTGATAATCGAAAATCACATTTTTTAAGTTGTGTCACTTGTGAAGTAAAAGAGCAATATAAAACTCGTATATTTAATTGCCATCTTTATAGTTGTAAGGTAAAATATGAAATTTTAAGAAAGTTGTAGGAAACACTCTTTCGAAATTATCATTATTTATGACAATCGTGCAAGCAGCAGAGCTTTCTAAGTTAAAATAGATTTTTATAATGCGCGTTTTCGAAAACTGATGATGTTATGAGTGTTATGATGATAAATTGTGTCCTTCTGTTTCTCAAGTGGCGCAAGGGATTCGCGAAAGAATAGATTTCTTGAACGATATGGAGAATCTCGGAATGGGGAAGAAATATCGACCTATAATACAGCAGGAGATAGCGCAGAAAATACGGCTAATGGAGTCGCTGGACAATCAAACGTCCGATCAGTTACGAAAAGAAGAATTTTATGAAGTTAAGGACGAAAGACCGTCGTCAAAATTATTTCCATTGACTGAACCGGGACAGAATTGATTCTTTCATTGATATAATCTACATGTAAGCGCTATAGTGAGATGCGATTACATAGATCAGATTTTATGTGTGTCATATAATATTATTCAATCAGATATTTTTTATTCAATCGTCGTATTTCAATCGTCTGATAAGCAACAAATGAATTTTATAGATAAGAACGTAATGCCAAGATAATGCCAAGTATTATAATCATAATGATTCAACTGTCTGAAATGTAAACAGATAAATTATTTGTAAAATTATATTCTCATAATATTATTTTGCAAAGTTATATTCATATAGACTTTTTTAAAAAAATAGATGTCAACTTCGTTAAAAGATTCATTTTTCTTTCTTTTTTCTAACCTTTTTATCTTTACTATATATTTTATATTTTATTTTTTATATTTTATATTTCATATAT